CTATTTCCTATACATTCCCAACCAATTTAGGACACACTGTGTACCATTGTGTACATAAAAATGGTTGTTTCCTCTTATATAACGATGGTGTAGATTTTGTTTCTGTAGAAGTTTTTTTTTGCGGATGAAATCAGGGCATTTGAACAAATTAAAAGTTAACAACACAAATTTAAAATTAGAACAGCAAAAAAGCCAATAAAATACCTAAATTGGTAGGTGACTGGACCATCTGACCTGAACCAAATTAGAAGGAATTTCTTAATTATTCTTTCTTAGTGGAGAGTTGACCAAATGAGCATCAAATTAGGAGGATTTAATATTTTAATTTTTGGTTATTTTTAATTCTTGATTTAAGTTAAATTCTTAAGAGAGGTATAAACCAGCCGTTTCTTTTGTATTAGCATTATAACCTTGAGATTATAAATCACACTAATAACTTAATATGTGAATATTCAATGAAGCTTTATGTAAGAAATAATGACTACAGAATAAGATGGAAATTGAAAAAAAAAGTGATTATACATAGGTACATTGAAACAAAGTTGAAAGTTGCTATGTTATGTGTCAATGTGCCTGTACCTATAAGCCTAGTTTATTTATCTTCAAATAAACTTGCTGGTAACTATCTGCAAGATAAATTTATGTTTTCTATAATTCTATTGGTTGGCGGATAACTGGTGACCAATGTGATTACAAATTGCATACCTGGCAATTTATCAGAAGGTGAATAAACCGGCCCCAAAACCACCAAATGATTAAATTAATCATGACAAAATCAGCTATTATGATTAGACAAGGAAGGAAAACACAAATTTCTTAAGCAACACATACCTATAGGTGTTTTTAAGGGACTGGCCCCTATAGCATTCAAGTTTTAATTTTAATTTAAAGCAAAAAACAAAAAAGATAGATTTTAGCTCAATTTTTTGGTTTATGCTATGCTGTAAAATATCAAGATAGTTAGGTATCGTAACCTACTCAAATAGGTTAAAACTAGCAAAAGTTTTAAAATCCAAACCAAACCCTATGCTATGATTCAGCCTAATAAAAGAGGCTGTGCTGTGAAGCATGGGTTTTATTAAAGACGGCAAGTAGGTAATTTATTATTCAAATGGTAATAATTAATATGTGATGCATAGCATAGTTAATTTGAACCTTTATCCCCACAACATTATTTACTACATTGCTTAAATTCTGATTTTTATTCATATCCTTTTTAAAAAAAACAAAATACTAACAAAGGAAATCAACAACTACCAAGAACCAAGAACAAGAAAAGCAAAAACAATTATTATTTTCCCATGGGAGGAGCCCACTTTTGTTATGGGCTGGGATGACCAACGAACTTTTTCCGATTTCTCACATAAAACTACCGCAATTCCCTTATCAAGCTACGAATTAAATTAAAGCGATATTTCCAACAGCAGCTTATCTCAAAAGATAAGATAACGGAGGCAATATTCTTACCGAAATTTAAAAAAATCGTGAGCACAAACACAACCACTGCCTTCGAAGCCGCCATGTTGATTTGTTTGTTTGAAGTTTGAATTGTGTTGAATGTTGAATGGCACAGTGAATGGCCAATGAAAGGTTGACACACGAATCAAACTGCTCCGGAGTAATTCAAAGGTTGACACGATTAGCAAGTTGGAGCAAAGCCAGAACAAGAAGAGTATTGATATTAAAATATTAGTCAGATATGGAACAATAATAGTATTTAAAGTTGCAAACAACAGGAAAATAAATGGATTTTTACTGAAGAAGTTCTTATATGGACTATGAGGGTGTTCATTTGTAATGCTTTTCTTGCTTCGAGCAGGATCTCAGCAGCAGATCGGCGTTCACTTGTCCCATATATAAGCTCATAAAGCTTCTAGCAGATCTTCCTGATTTTTCGAGCAGGTAGAGCAAGTAAATACATAAGTTTTTGGATTACCTATTACCAGCGTCCCTATCTGTTCTAACAAATTGGGGCAATTCCGATTCACGGTTTGGATATTACAACTGATAATAGACACTACTATAGAGCTGCTTTCTGTTCAGGGGCTTGGGCGCCCTGGATCACGATTTTGAAATGTGTCAACCGTTCTTTTTAATCGGGGCGTCAAGTCCCGGGGTCGTCTATCCCCACCGCTAGCGCCTCAACGAGGCATCGAAGTTCCACAGCTCCAGTGTCCGAACTGTCACTAGTGTCAGATAATTAAAGCCACTTTCCAGCTGTGTGCTTCAAGCACGGTGCAGCACAGTGTTCTGTGTTTGAAACGCAAAAGTTAGCAGCTCTCGAAGCACAGTATGGCTGGAACACGAACACGCGCTTGAAGCATTTGCGCGCGCAAATTCTCGATTGAGTGTTCAAAAGCGTCAGCTGGAAAGCGGCTTATATGTCCCCTAATTAGAGGTGCTTTCCAGTGACCCATTTGAGTTACTCCTGAGCAGCTCAGGAGTGCTCCACCATTGCTTTGCGCGTTCCAGTGCTTAGAGTGTCGTACACTTGAACTACTCATTTCTGTTATCCCCTGCCCCCCCGGGCACCTACCTTTATCTCGTTGTTCCATGCTCCTGTGGCCCGAAATGGTGGGGGTTAAGACGAGAGCGTTCCAGTGCTGCTTATGTCGAACAGTTCAAGAGCTTCACACTTTAGGAGCATGGCTGACGCCCCCAGGGCGTCGAAGCCCGGGGTTTCAAAGCTCTGAAAAGAAAGCACCTCTGGATAGCTTTTCCTCATAAGGCCTGTGTAGATCAAAACTCACCCACCAAGTATCCTCCCCACTTGCCAACCCCATAATACCAAAGTAGCAGTGATGACGTACACAGCGTGTCATTTCTCGCTTTGACGTAGGATCTTTGCACCACAGGATAGGATTCCGCGAGTTGATTTATACATATTAGTACATTTAACATTCTAAAACCACACTTTTTGCTCGCTTGTGCATCTTCCTCTTTGCCTATTACGTTAATCAAAATTAAATTTATTTTTCATAAATGTATATTCTAAACTACGACCGCTGGCGCAAACAACTGAAGACGTAGTTGATTACGTTGTCAATGGTGCTACACATTTAAATCCGGAGTCTCATGCATTCGTTTTCCGACAAAAGATGTCCGAAAAATCTTCTATTCTGACATAATCGTATGAAAATATGTCAAAATAGAAAATTTTTCGGACATCTTTCGTCGGAAAACGGATGCATGAGACTCTGGCCTTATGGCCGCGATTCCTAAAAACCAGGCCGAGAAGCAATCCTGTGTAGCAGCGTGTATTATCCTGGATTTCAACTGTTGTTGTTGATTTCGGGTAGAACTAGCAACAGTGCCAAGTGCCGCACTTTTAAGGCACACCAAATTATCAGATAAACTTGCTGGTGCCTATCAGCAAGATAAATTTACCGTTCTATAATTCTGGCCGATCAATGGGATTACAGATTGCGTTTTTATCCATCAGATTGCATATCCGACAGTTTATCAGAAGGTGAATAAGCCGGCCCCAATTTACATCACTAGTACAGTGTCAAGGTTCCTAAAGCTAATAGGTTGTCTGATAAAGGGTAACTTGATGACGCATCTGGGATGCCTTATGGAAATTTGCATACTGTATTCGTTTTATACATCGAGTGCATTATGAGCGACTCGAGTGCTTAACGAATTTTTAAAAGGAACTTTCAAACTGTTGGCATTGAACCGCTCAGAGTTACTCAACGGGTAAAAGGAATACAGCAATTATGTTGAGGCTCCTCAAGGATGATACAAACTACTACTACTACAGGATAGCCTATCCTCATAAGGCCTATGTGGAACAAATCCCCCCTCACCCCCGCGCCAAATCACCAGTTGTGACGTAGGCAATAATGGTGGCAGCGGATGGATTCATCTTATAAGCGCCCGTAATGCAATCCGAGGGATGAATCTATAATCCTATTGGTCGGTTAGTTAGCCGTCGACCAATAGGATTATAGATTAGTGAATTTATCTTGTAGACAGTTACCAGTAAGTCTGAAGATGAATAAACCAAACCGCGCCTTAGCGGGACCGAGTAGACCTAGTCGGGGTAACCACACGAGTGTTGTAATGAACATTACTGTCCGAGCGTTATACAATATTATATCTACAACCCAGATCTTTTTTTTATGTGCCTATTCAAAAAACAGATTAGGTATTCGTTTTGCTGTTATCAGCATTTATAATTTTTTCGGATACCTTAATGAATTTTGAGTGCTGTTCTCGAATAAATAGTTATTTAAACAACAAGTTTTGAAAACGACTTTTTTCGCACGGCGAGATAGTTAGTTGGACCGAGCCGTAGGCGAGTTCCACAAGTCGAGAAAGTGTGAAAAAAGGTTTTCAAACGAGTCTTTTACAATGCTTTTCCTACAACTGCAAAATAAAACAACCAAATATATAATTTCCATTTGTTAGAAAACTTTAAGCGTGTGAAAAACTTTTTCGCACGCTAAAATGCGTGTGAAAAACTTTTTCGCACGCTGTGCGAAAAACTCTAATTTCAGAGGTTGCCTAGCGTGCGAAAAACTCCATTTTCAGAGGCAGTCGTAGGAAAAATGAGTTACGTAATGGAGCTTATCAAATCACTAGTAATACAGGGTGTCCCACGACGTTTGTCCCAAGTGATAAATTCGGAACGCGTCATCCAATATAATTGAAATTTTGAGGATCTGGGTAACTTTTTGTGCCGCTTCTACCACTGTCATCCAATTCCACCATTTTTGCTCCAATTTCGGCCAAGTGACGTCAACTTTCGAATTTTAAATGTAACTCATGGTATATTATGGCATTTTTCGTTAGAAAATTAAATTACAAAATCGGCTATGCCATATTTGTAAAGGCTTTGTTAAAGGATATGACAGAAAATTATACAGTGGAACATACGATGATGCGTTCCGAAATTATCATTAGGGAAAAACCTCGTGGGACACCCTGTATAATGAGCTCATTACATCACTAATACAAAAATTATATGTGACAAAACAACAAAACTAAAACACAATTATGAATTTTAAATTCCTATATATTTTGATGTGGGATTAAATTTTTGAAAAAAAAAAATACAAAACACATGTAAAAAATCAATAAAAAACCAATAAATAAAATATTCTAAAGAAAGTCAAAGCATATAAATAATTTATTGCCTAAGAAAGAAATAAATTGTTTCTGCGGATTTCACATGTCGTGCAAGATTTAACAGAGAAATCTTCGTTTATTTTTCCTGGCAATGCATTATTTCTACACATTTTTCTGATATGTATAACAAAACTAAGTATAATGCCTAAAAAAAATACATATCTACGAAAAACAGAAAAGTGATGCAGACAATCTAAAATAATAAAACTTATTTTAGGAAAATTTAAGTAACAAATCGCTGACTCATTTAGGTCTTATTCTAGATTAAAGCTTAACAAAAATAAGAAATAAATTAGCTTATTCAAGAGGTATAAAACTTAACTTACGTTTTATGCTTAAATGCAAAATAAAACTCACTGACCAATGATAGTGGCAAAAAAAAAAAATCGATTGAAGAATATCTTCTTGGTTCGATTTTGGTTTAAATCAACCAGAACAAAGAAATTTATCATGGACACATAAGTCCAACCATTATGAGAACTTATCCATATTATGTTTCCATTTCTATAATTATAATTAGGACAAAAATAGGACCTAAAAGTCAGTAGCTAAATTGAATCACAGGTTTTTGGGAACGAATTCATATTAAATATTAAAAATGCGATAATGATTAGGGTACATGCAGTTACAATCATTAAATACGGAGCTGGGATTTTGCCGTGAAATACTATCGTAGGAGAATTCTATCAAATCATCTGGATTGGTTTATCAGCAATAATAAAATGCCCATAATACTGGTAACAGCAATTTTCCTTTTTTATCTTTAATCAAAAAAAGGAAAAGAATTGTTTTTTGATAGCGAGCCATTTTTTAATCAAAATTTTCTATTTTATTTTACTTGCTTGATTACATCTGGGATCAGTCATCATCACAATATTTTTAATTTTTGTCTTATTTTCTATTATTTTTCGCATATTTCAAATAATAAAACTCTTCATAAAATTCAGAATTGCGTGGTAAAGTGGAATTTCAATGCATTCCAATTTCCAATAAACATAAAGCATGCATTCTTGCTGCGCATGAAAAGATACTTTCTTGGACGACTGAAGACTATCAAAATATTAAAAACCTTATTTCATAACAAAATACCAGCACAATCTCTTACACGGACACCGAATACCCTGTAACATGTAGACGATAAATCTAAAATGCATTGAAAATTAAGATTTTGTATGTATAGAGGGCCACATTAAATCCTACAATCCAAGTTAATATTTTTTCTTGATTCAAGCTGCCTTATAGGTTACCCCTCTCTCCTGTTCTATCTACCCTCTGTGTACAAAATCTCCATTTCTCAGACTGAACTCATTAAAATTACATGACTAGTTCTGAATCTTACCATCAATTAGTAATACTTATGGTTTAAACATCGAAAACATGGAGCAAGTAGTTGGACCAGGTACAAGCGGAGCTTGAAGGCGTTTTATCACATTTTTTTTTCTTAAAGGGAAGAAATTATCACATCGATATAATAATATGGGGACAGTGAATATTTAGTGACCAGCATTTTGTTAAATTTATTTTTTCCAATCATTGTCAACTACAGTGAAACTGTTTGAAACCTATATGAAAAAAATTATCATTTTTGCCAGCCACAACGCAGAGAACAATCATTATTTTTTTTGTTTGCCCTCCAGCCCCAGACCATAATCCAACACTTGCTCCTTATAGCTAGTTGAATACGTCGAGTGAGCTAAACAACCCTAGTGCACATCTACAAAGTGGCATTATTTTTGCACACCTATCTACTACTGATAATAGCAATAATATTAATGTAAATAAACCTAATAATAATATAGGGAGAGCCCGTGAAGAAAGAGCCAACCAGGGGCAAGGATACCAACTTATTGGAGAGCATTTTAGAAAAATATTGAAACTTAAAACTAAAACAACCGAGATTCGAAATAAATAGTAAATGAAATCCGAGTTTTGGCTGATATTGCCTCGGTAACCACTTGGTTACGGGGTGTGGGCTTGGCCTTTTTTGTTTTTCTTTAGAGAAATATCCTCCACATCATCCCCCTTCTTGACTTCAGTATAACGTTCACCTTTGAGGCTCACAATCTTATTATCACGGTAACGAACCAACTTTTTTGGCTCAACTTTTGGAGCCACTGGACGATATTCCTACATTTATAAATTTTGTAATATAATTAAGTAGAATATTATGTATATTACCTTATTCAAAGCATCTTTGTCAATGTAAGAGTATCTCTCAATAATTCGGTTTTTAAGTTCAGCATCATCAATAGTCTGTTTGGCAACTTGCATAGTCAGAGTATTATTTTGGCTCAAACATTGACCGTTTTCTTGACGATCAATTAAAATTTGCGTGGCACGTTCTATGTCTCCTGCGGCAATAGCTAGACATTGTTTTACCTAAAGAAAAATTCCTCTTAGATACCATCAAAGGAACTCATATATGTAACCTACCTCAATAGTGCAAATTGAAGGAAACATTTCCTGCAAAATATCCATTTCGTCCGGATAATCGCAGCAAGAACTATCAGTGGATCCTCCATCACTCATTTCTGATAGTTTGTGAACACGTTTTGGAGTTTCGAAGCTTTCAGAATTATTATGAGACCTAAATTACGGCAAGTGTTTGAAATTATATATTTTTTCATCAGTGGGGAAATTAAAAGCCCACAGGTGTAGATAGAATCATTAATAGTTTATACAGTTGAATTGCAATATTCAATATCTTTATTGAATGTAAGTTGTTTGATAGTCATCCCGGGCAAATCTACAGACGAGGGCATTTTTCAGTTTACTAAGGTAATTTCCTAGTTTTTTAAAGATTTTATACATATTGTGCTTGTTAACACAAAAAAATACACAAACATAAGCTAATATTTATAAAAATCAGAAAAAAATACATTTTATTTAGATTCTAGTGTGCAAGTTTTTGGGGATTTCTTCTTTTACCCCGTTTTATTAAAAAAGACAAAAAGAAAGCTGCTTAGAATAAGATTTTCCACAACGAGTTCGTGTCTCCATAGAAATAAATAAGTTATAATTACCTGGGTTTAGTCTTATTAGGAACAACTTCCGCGAAGCTTATATCCAAACTAGTAGCCTTAGTTTCAGTTTGCTCGAGTTTTCTCAACTTTTCTTCAAGATCAAACATCCACTCGCACACGATGCTATGATTGATGGTTCCAAATTTAGGAAAATAGGCCTCCATCATTTCACAAAAGCCCTCCACATCGAATTGAGAGTCCGAACCGACATCCTCCAAAAAAGCAATGACATAAGACAAAACGATGTCGTCAATGAGAGTTAGATCGGCATCTGGGATGTGGCTTTTGACAAAATCGAAGAGAGAGTCCTTAATGGTTGATTCTTGGTCTGCAACCATTTTTGTAGACATTCCTGATGTAGGCTAAAAAAATACAAAAAAAAAAAATAAGTAGTACTAATAGTTGTTAAAAATGGATGAATGAGAAATGTTCATAGACAGGAAGTATAAAATCTAAATAAAAATAAACTTAATCAAATTCTTTGCAATCCTAGCAAAGATTAAAATATTTAGGTATCTGAGTGAAGTGTTCTGAGAAGGAACGGCCGCTTCCTGCCGTATCAGGTATCAGCTACCTGCAATATTAATATCAAAGTCAGCAAATGAACAGATAAGACTTATTGTATTAAAAAGAAAGCTCTCGAGAAACCTACACAAAAGTAAATACATCGAGCTTTAAACTGCTAGAGGAATGTAAATAAATTTTTCTAATGTTCAATGCGAAGTTGTTTGATTTGTATTGGAGTATTTCACTGAAGAATGCATTGATATCGTGTGGGCAAATGTTCTGGTTCTTGATAATCCTCTTGAAGAGTTCTCAAGAACATCTAATTTTGCGTTTCCTCTAATCAAAGCCTTTACATCCATTTTCCTTTAAATTTTCTATTTTGGTTGAGAGAAGAAAGATACAAGCCGTGATGTTTATTTATATTGTTATTAATAGTATCAAGTATAATAATTGTGATCTTATCAACTATCAAGGCTTTCGCAAAGAGATTTATCTATTATTATAAACATGTCATCCCCATTAAGCAAAATGTTAGCTATTTGTGAAATGATGAAAGAATAATGAGGCATGATTTGGATATTTCTACTATCAAGGAATTCTCTCTGAGAAAATTATGATCAGCACACAACAATAAACTGTACCTATAACATTAATCACAAAAATGCGCCGACAAGCTCTATAGAGCTTAGGTGCAAAAACTTAGGGAAAAATTGTACTATTAATAATAATTGTAATATAACATTTTTGAATTTGGATTTGTTGTTATATTTCCTCTTTTAGGACTGGGTTTGTAGTTTGTAGGGACTTTGCTTGTAATTACCTAGGGCGTTTGCGGAGGTATCAGTAAATAAATAAATAAACACATTTTCCGTAAAACTATGTAGTTATAAAACACGAAGAGCAAAATTATTTTGGAAGAAAATTAAGCAGATCCAAAAACAAACAAATGGAGAGCTGGAGAATTATTGCGAATGATCTTAGGGGCAGAAATAAAAACAATTTTCCTCCAACAGAAACAATATTGTAGTGTAACCATATAAACCAATTTCACAGTCCTGTAGTGGAAGATCTGAGTGGTAAGATTAGTACTAAGACTAAGGGAGATTTTCAAAACATTTGTGGGAAGTCATTGTGTCAGATCCATTTGTATTGCTTCCTACAAATCATTTTGAATTGAAGAGTATTTTTGGTAGCATTCTGAACAGAAATTCGTCTCGCTGGGATGTGGCTTCCATTAGATTTTTTCAGATTGCCGGATCAAGCATCAAGCGTTCTTGCTGATTGCATAAATTCTTCTTTTACGTCTGGCAGCTATTACTGACCCTTTCAAGAACTAATGAAAAGTTAGTAAAAAAGCGCCTAGAAAAATACCTTAATAGTACACTGCTGTAGAAACTTGAGAGGTATGGAGTGAGAGGCAGAAAAAAAAAGGTCTCACACCCTAAAATCAATCAAACTTCTAGACTTGAACCTCTACAGAAAGTACCTGTAACCTGCAGACTCTCAGTTTCTAAAAAGAGCTATTGGGATGTTCGTCTATTATTCAAAGTGGGCAAACGATTTCAAGAAGCTCAAATTGGATATTGTAAAATCAGCTGTTACTTCAATCGAAGATAACATTCCATTTATTTGTGGTTGAGACTGATGATTCAGAGCATTGCATCACTGCCACTTTGAGTCAAGCAGAAAGGCCAGTTGCATTTTTCTCGAGAACACTAAGTAAGTGTAAACAAAATCATTCTTCAGTTGAAAAAGAAGCTTATTCCATAGACACTTTCTGATTGATCGTCATTTTCAGCTGATTACTGATCATTGATCAAAAATCTGTATCTTTTATGTTTGATACCAAACACAGTAGCAAAATAAAAAATGAGAAGATTTTAATATGGCGACTCGAACTATCATGTTAATTTATGTTTTATTTATCAACGGACTTTAAGTTACAAGTTAATGTTATAGCTATGATATAATATACTTATAGACCAGGAGGAGAAAACGTGGTAGCTGATACATTCTCTCGAGTATGTGGTTCAAATAGAAAACTTGATTCGATTTACATCAAGGTTTATGTCATCCTGGAATCACTAGAATGGTCCCGAGTAGTTAATCACTTCCCGAAATCGTGTCAGAAATTCGTCCAAAATCTTCTCGGAAATCCCCGAAATCGTTCCGAAATCCACGAAATCACGCCGAAATCCGCAGACCCAAAAATCCCTCGCAATAGGCCCAAAATTCATAAATCGATTATTGCGACCGTTTTTCAGTTTATACTGATACATCTTCTCATATACTTCTAAGATAAGTAACAGTCTGAAATCAAATTAAAATATTTACAAAATCTTCCGAAATCACCAGAAATACTTCGAAATCACCCGAAATCCCTCAAAATCGCTCTGAATGCAAAATCTTGTCACATTTTTCCCTTGGAATCTTTCCGAAATCCTACTGAAATCTACGAAATTATCCCGACATCTTCGAAATCCGCTGAAATCCCTCCGAAATCTTTCAGAAATCTTTCCGCAGACCCAAAAATCCCTCGCAATAGGCCCAAAATCCATAAATCAGTCAACGCGACAGTTTTTTAGTTACACCTTTGAATAAACTTTTAGTATAAGTGAAAGTAACAGTCTCTCTTTCATCTGATTTGAGGAACAAATATATAGTTACTTGACAAGTATTCTCGCTTTCCATTCGCCTATCCATGTTAAGATATGACCTCTGAGACAGTGATTCAGTGTCTAAGCAACTTATTTCCCATTTTTGGAATGCCTGGATATATTCACACAGATAAAGGGTCTTCATTTATGTCAAATGCTCGGTCAAATGAGTTTAAAAAGTATCTTTTCTCAAAAGGGAATAGCTACAAGCAGATCGACACCTTATATTACAGAAGGCAATAGTCAAACAGAACGATTTGATGGCATAATTTGGAAGACAATCACTCTAGCGTTGCGCACAAGAAATTTAAAAAATCAACACGGTTCTAGAAGATGCATAATGCATTCGATTAGGTCTCTTTTATGCACAGGTACTAATTTTACTCCGAGTTTTACTCCACATGAAAGAATGTTCTGTCATTCAAGAAAATCAATGAATGGTAAGTACAGCAATACCTTCATGGCTTCTGGAATAATTTACATGAAAAAGCATGTCAAACACTCAAAATACGATCCTCTCGTTGAAGAGGTTGGTCTCATTGAAGCTAACCTTCAATATGCACTAGTTCGACTTTCAGATGGACAAGATGCAACGGTTTCGCTGAAACATTTAGCCCCATGTGGTGATGATAGTCTAATGCAATCGGAAAATATAGGTGATAACAATGTTATAGATACACCTACTCAGTCAGAAGAAAGTAAAGATTTTTTACAGGGACCTATTCCTACAGAACAAGTGCGAGACATTGAACAAGAAAATGTACGTGAGACAATAAACCAGCCCCTCGCCCAGCCTCAATCTATTCACTGTGCGACACAACTAGAAAACCAGATGCGCCGTGGATCAAGAACTAGGAAATCTCCCACATCTCTTGACATTATGTGGAAAAATAAACCTGAAGAGAATGTGGTAGGTACTTTTGAGAGCTTTTGTATATAGTTTTGTTAACCTGTATTAATATTACAATATCTATCAGTGATAAAGTTTCTACATTTTACTATCAACTTGGATGTTATTTATCATCTTCTACATGTGTGAATTATATTGAATTCTTCGTTTATAAATGAGGATAAAATTATTTGACATAATTAACTAAGTAATTAACAGATCATTTATAGAATTTCTCAAATAATCTATAAAAAATTCATATTTTGTGTACAGGGTGGGCCAATTTGGACACTTTTGTACGATCAAGGTCTAGTTCTCAGTCTAGTTATAACTTTAGTCTTGCTAGTCATTGGACCATTGCCTTTACTGCTCATTCGCCACTTATCAGAAATGGTACATACAAGTACTGGAATACCTACTTATTCCAAATTGAACTCAAATGCATGCTGGGATAGGTATGCTGATTAGGTATCGCATAAAACCGTCAACTAATAATAAGAATTTACTGGATATTTTACATGTATATACTTAGTTATAATTTTTTAATTAAAAATGAGTAGCTACTGTATGAAAAGGAGTGTATGTTAAGTACCAGTTTTTTTTTTTTTTTTTTTTAAGTGAATTAGATAAAGGGTTGTCTTAATGTACGGACTGAATCCATAGGTACTTATGTCTAGCTAGGTTTTTCAATCGGCTTTTGATATAGCGATAAAAAAATTATATTTCACATTTGATGAAAATAAAAATAAGCAAAATTGAGTTTATTAGAAAATAGTAAATACCCTTCAACATTTCTAGTATTTTAAGACAAATATATTCCTGCTCAATCTATTTGGGCAGAGAAACTAAATAGAATCTATACTTATCCAAAAACAAATAGACTATCAACAAATCCAATGATAAAAACTTACTGAAGCTACAAATGAATTTGGTCAATGATTTTCTAGCCCTTGAACAGCTCTATTTTCACAGACACCCTTATTTCAAAGAGTTTTAGTCAGAAAAACCAAAAATTTTCTCAATTTAAATCAATAATAGAGGCACAGTCTCTCTTCTATTTATGGAATTTGACTTTTTGTCTTTTGAGGAGGAGGAGCTTGAACTGACGCCTGTCAACATTTGACAACAACGCCCTTGATCGGTCTGCACCGAACAGGAAGCGTTTTCAGATAAGACGTTCTTTTTTTAACATTTTTCATTCTTTTCTTTATTTACTCCGGAACAAAAAGTAGGGGTCAAGAAACCACTTAGCCCTTTTCACGTGGCTCCGGTTTACCAAACCGCAACATACCGCTCAAATTCGAGTGGTACCGATGACGTCACTATGTAACCGGGTTAGGATTAGGAAACGGTATGTCATTTCTCTAATCAGCTACCAGCTCGGCGATATGGTTTATACGTTTAACGGTTAGAACAGAAAAAAAAATGTGAAATTTTGGTGCAGCTAATAGAGAGTACATCAACCTATTATAAATATTGACAGGTTCTTTGATTTCCTAATTTAAAATACCATTTTTCTAACCGTTCGTTTTCAAGTGTCATTTTCAATTACGTCATCATTTGACATACCGCTACTAACTGTTTTGTAACCCGGTTAGTTTACACCAGAGCCACGTGAAAAGGATTCTTATATACTTAGGGCGGAATTATAGTCGTTCCTTGATGTCATTTGATTTCTAAACGTTCAAGGCTTCCTTTGAAAGGGTTTACTTAAATCAAGAAAAAAATTCTAAGATTTCTCGTGAAAACAGCAGTCCTATATTCAAAATAGTCTCCGAAAAAACTCCTTGTGAAGATAAATTATGCAGGAACTTGTGATATCACACCGCCGAAATCGCAGTGTTCGTTCAGTCGTCAGTGAACCGTATACCCTCTATACTTTGAGTGGTTGCAATTCGCTCTAGGAGATAATTGATGTCTTTTGTTTTGGAAAATTCTTACACGTGTTACTGCAAGGACACACTACTACTACAGGATGGCCTATCCTCATAAGGCCTGGGGCCTTATTCTGTAAGGAGTGAACCGTTCGATTCGGTAGAATTTCTTCGATTGTGACGTCATTTTCAGTTTGGTAGCGCGAAAACCGAAAACCAAACCGAAAATTACGTCACAATCGAAGAAATTCTACCGAATCGAACGGTTCGTTCCTTACAGAATAAGGCCCCTGTGTGTAACAAATCCCCCCTCCCCCCCTATGCCAAAATACCAGTTGTGACGTAGACAGCGTGTTGTTTCTCGCCTTGACGTAGGCTGTTTAAACAACTGACGACTGAGTTGTGACGTCGGCAATGGTGGCACACCAATATGGCGGCGATTACCAAAAAGTAGCACTCCTTAGAGTGTTTATTCTCCTTGTTAATAGAGTCACTGATAATCCAGTGTGACGTCACAAACACCTAGTTGTAACTTCAAACCGCCCTAACTCGAAAACGGACCATCGTAGCAAGATGCGGTTTAAATACTTATTCTTAAATTTTTTGTACTTAAACTTTCGTTTTTGGGTCATTCCCCCTTTAGGGTCTGAGGAAACTCAAGGAGCGACTATAAATTTAACCCTAACTGTAGCGCTTACTTGTTGAATTGCTCAGGCTCAGCGGCTGTCAGGATCAACGCATATATAGAACGAAGTATTCTTTGGAACCTACGATCTAGCCAAGCGATCTAGCAACGATTCATAATTTCTGTGAAGAAAACCGAAATAAACCCCTAATCCTAACCTCATTTCTTGTTTCTTTCAATTTCGGCTAAATTCCGGGACAAAAACGAAACATTATTTTTCTACTACCGTTGGAAAACGACTTTCTATAGGCACTCTTCAAACGATTTAAAATTATATTAAAGTTGGTTTTTTTGAAAAAAGGTTGGATTTAGGTCAAAAATAAACGGCGTTGAAGAAGATAGTGTGCCGACGTTCCGGCCTAAATTAGGCTATCCTCAGGGCACTAAAAACAGGATATTCATGAGTCTAAAATCATGGATTATTACATAGTGAAAAGTGTAATTGTAAAGAAGTAAAACTGTGTTAATACAACAATGATAAATTAAAAAATTGAAAAGGAATTTTATGTAAATTTACTCAGTTATCCTTATGCTTTGATAGTGAGGAATTTCCCACGAAATAAAAATGAAAAAATGATCGTTGGGTTACGTAAATAACATTAACAAAACAATTAAAAATCAAATAAATAAATAACATATAAATAACATAAAACAAGGTAAATTAGATTACAACAGGTACCTATTACTTACATCCAAGTTACTTCTCCAGTGTTATTAAATAGAATGTTATATACATAAGGAACATAATGTTGCTTATCATTCTTTGGTTAAGCTTTGTTAACAAACAGGACATTAATATTAGACAGTTACAAACAAAAATAAAATTTAAAATCTTTGGTAGGTACTGGCTTTATTATTTCTAACGTTACACTAAACCATTTGTTTCTTATATTATGGGTCTTGGTTAGTATCGTATCAATAAGGAACAAAAAAAGGGGTTTTGGTATTTAGCACAATCGCACACAACCATTAAAAGAAAAACACTGTATTATGATGGATTTTGGATGGACTTCAAAATGGTATATATATTATATATTATGCTTAATTTTTCAACATCCTGTTTTCTGTTTGGAGAATAATTTTTTTATTTTATTTTCATTCTTGAAGGCAACTTTAATGGTATCGTTGTTAAGTTGTCTAGCTATTTTTTCTGATAGATCTTGTACATAAGGAATTTTAAAATATCTTGTTTGGTCGTTTTTTGGTATATTTGTCTTATTATTGTGTACGGAGCGACAAAATAGAAGTTTATTAATCAATTTATTAGGATAGTTATTTTTGGTTAGATATGCTTTTATGTTATTCAAATTCTTTTGATGAAAATCTGGATGTGAGAGTCGTACTGCTCTATCCTTCAAGTTATTGATAATGTTGATTTTTTGTTTAAAAGAGTGTTCCGATCCGATCGAAAATTGGGTAGAAGGTAGGCTTATGATACCAGTCGGTTCTAATTTTGTTATCATCGGTTCTTATTAATAAAAGATCTAGAAATGAAATGGAGTTGTTACTTTCTTCTTCTATTGTAAATTGCAACCTTGGGTGGAAGCTATTGAAAACATCCAGAATGGTCGGAATTTTATCGATGGGAACACACGTGATTATGTCGTCTACATATCTTTTAAAAAACGGTAACTGGAAATCTAATTTATCAATGCATTGTGTCTGTAGTTCCGACATAACCACGTCTGAGCAGCTTGGAGACAAACAATTCCCCATGCCCAGACCAAAAATCTGCTTATAGAAGGTACTCTCAAAGCAAAAATAACTGTTGTCAAAGCGGAACTGTAGAAGACTCACAAACGCATCAAGTGTTAGTTTGCAATGATCCCTAATCATAAACCACCTTTCTTCTAAAAGATCTATAGTTAGATTCGTTGGTATGTTAGTGAATAAAGAGTTAACGTCCAGTGATATTAAAATCTGATTTTCTGGAATTTGAAAATCCTGTATGTAAGCAGCCATTTCAAAGGAATCCTTTATGTGATACTGATCCTTATTGAAGGCTAAAGAAATCAAGTTAGATAAAAATTTGGTTAGCCTATAGGCAGGAGACCCCACAAAGCTTACAATTGGTCTAAAAGGAACTTTTTTTTATGTATTTTAGGTTGAAAATACATTTTGGGAAAAATACCATTGCTGCACTTGATATATTTGGCTTGTTCAATTGACAAAAAAGTTCGTTAGTTTTTTTGAGACATTCGGCTTTATTGATTGCAACTGTAGTATTGCCCTAGTCGGCTTTTAGAATTAAAATGTCAGAATTTTGTTTAAGAAATTGCTTTGCTTCCTTTTCATCTTTGAGAAAACAGTTGTTTCTTTTTCTAGGTTGGTATCTTAAAAAGTTTGTTACAACATTTACTATTGAATTGCGTTTTTCATTTTTGATGTCTTCGTCAGGAAACAATTCTATAATAAATTCACAGTCAACGATAAGTTGTTCTAAGGGAAGATGATTTTTATTATAGGGTAGATTAAATTGATCACCAAGTGATAGAAGATATTGAATATTTTTGGGAAACTCGGTCTGGGTAAGGTTTACAAACCATTTATCATTATTTTGATACTCCAAGCAATTTCCCTTCTGTTCTAATATTAATCTATTTAATTTATTTTTCTGTTGCAGTTTAACCTTTTTGTGTATAGAGCTATAAATCTTCTTTTGCGAAGTACTGAAGGAGTCAAAAATATTTAATGGTAGTGAATTAGACAGCCTCGATTTAGATGCATTAAGTGTAGATTTTAAGTTGTTAATTTTCCAATGTATATAGGATATTTCTAAGTTTAAACACTTTAACTGAAATTTTCTAAATAACTTGGCGCATTGATTTTTAAAAGGATTACTCTCGACTAACAAATATTGTAAACAAGTAATGGAGCTACTCAGATGCATAGGTAATACCTGTTTTTTCCTACATTGTAACAAAAACTTCAAATGATTGTTGTAGTTGGCCAGTTTCTTGTTTGTGTTTGCCCAATTTTTCATGTCTTGATAGACATTGTCATCATAATCCCGTCTAATATTGTCCAGAAATCCCATTCTTAGCAAGTTCCTTGTGTCAGTTGTATCCAAGTTGTATTAATTTGTTATAGTTAGTGACCTCAGTAGATATTAAAGTTGTTTTTTTTGAAAAAAGGTTGGATTTAGGTCAAAACTAAACGGCGTTGAAGAAGATAGTGTGTATTTGCCGACGTTTCGGCCTAAATTAGGTCATCTTCAAAAAAACCAACTTTAATAGGTATCTACTGAGGTCACTAACTATAACAAATTTAAAATTATATTTCACGCCCTAGTGTGTAGAGTTATTGACTTTGCACACTAGTGCGTAAAAAATCGTTGAAAAAGTTCAATAAATCGATAGGCTGTTCATTTGTACTTGCTACCTGCTCGAAAAATCAGGAATATCTGCTAGGAGCTGCTATTTATGAGCTAATGGGGGTTATGGGACAAGTGAACGCTGATCAGCTGCTGAAATCTGCTTGAAGCACGAAAAGCAGTACAAATGAACAGCCTAATAAATTGTATTTAGATTCTTTGTAAAAATGCATAAATAGGTACCCACAGGTATAAAATTTGATATGATGGGTATTAAGGCTTGTGTTGCCAACATAGGTAATAAATTTTTGAGTTGGGGAATTATCTTTAAAAAAAAAATAGACCTAAAATGACGCAGTCGTTAGCTTAAGCTGTTGTACGTATGCCATATATATATATTTGTAAAGTCCGTCGATTTTATTCTAATACTCGAAAGGACTGCGAGCTGGTGGCACCCTACATTAGAACGTCAATGGTTACCTGACGTCACACCTTTTTTTGCCATATACTTCACCCCCTCGCTCCTCATACGGAAAGTGTCAGATTAAAAACTACGGACAATAAGACGTTGTGTTCTATAATCATTTGAAGATAGGATGGCACCAAAGAAAACTACAAAATTGGATCCTGCTGAAGCTGAAATCGTAATAAAAACCAAACTAAAATCTATTGAAAATTTCATTACTGCAACTAATGATGCAATTAGGATGTTAGAAGAAAAAACCTCGGAAAAAACACAATAATAAGCTATGAATAATATAGAAGCTAGTTTTCCATAAAAAATTACCGATTTCAAAAAATGAAATAATGAAAGCATAAGGTAAGCCAGCTGATAGTACGTATGTTGAGAATAGAAGTAGCTGAAGCTATTGAAATAAATGTTCCTACTAGTTACGCTCAAAATAATATACAGTTATCAGGAGTTATTCCGTTACCGGAAAAATCAATAGAAAGTTTTACACTTGCACAGTTTATAGATTGGCGTAGAAAATTTGAAAATTATTTAAGTTTTCAAGGACTATTACCTACCAACTACAAAAGGACAAGTAACTGCTTTATTAAGTTCCTTTTTTTGCCAAGAAATCGCTGATGTGGTCAGGCTTGTTTCAAAATTAAACAACCTAATAAATCTAAATGCTTCCATGGTTCTTGATAAATTGGAAGGTTATTATAAGAAAAAAGGACACGGACGAATGAGAAGAAGTCAGTTGATGTCCAGAAAACAACATGAAGGTGAAACGTTCATGTCACTTTATAGGGAAAAAGTAAAGCTGCTTCAACTTACCGATCCATGTAAATCTTGTTATGAACGTTGTTTAGTAGACCATTTAATAGAGTCGCTGAGTGAATGAGTGGTCTTGATTTACGGAAAAATTGTCGAACTTTACCCGAATCAACCACTAGATATTGAAGAAATGATAAAAATATGTGAGTTGGAAGACAATGCAAATTTGGGAGAAAAACAGAATGCTTCAAAAATTAGTGAAGTACGTAAGTAAATTTCGAAAAATATGTTTCTAAAAAAAAGTGTTCCAGAGGTGTAACAATAATTGGCACAAAAATTTAAAAGATTATCCAGCTAGAAACACAGTATGTGAGAAATGTTTTATTAGAGGGCATTTCACCGTACAAAAAACCTACAAAAGCCTGAAGAAGCCGATAAATCTATAGTTGGAACCTTGATAATCAATACTGTTGAAAATTTTTCAAATAGGTAATCGTGAATGATGTATTGATGTTACAGATTCCACTGAAAATTTAAAAATGAAAAGAATACAATTTGAAGCTATCCCTGACACAGGATCCGAAGTCTGTGTTCCTGTCCTGGTGATTTTTTTTTATCACTACCCTTTTCATCGACAGATCAAGTTTATGCAAAGATAGTTTAAAGCTGGAATCTGCAGACGGTAGGTAGGTACACAGCTGAAAGTTTTTTGTTTTGTCGATTGTAACATTTTGTATGAAAATTTATTCACAAAAAATCGTGTATACAGTTCCCGCGGAAAAGTCTGCACCACATGGGAAATTTTTTTATGCTCATCCTTACTTCAAATCGGTTTTCGGCATTAGGTTCTGTATGACTGAAAACCAAAAAAGTACCAACCTAAAATTTTTGACTCGAGACTTGCCTCCCACCTGTCAAATGCCATTTGAAAATTTCAAACAAGGAAAAGTGGCATTTTTATAAAAAATATGAAAAAAATTTATAAGAAAATATTGTTCCAAATGACTTTTAGTAGTAGTTTATAAGCAAACAATTTGAAATTTCAATTTGAGAAATCTTAAATTTTTAAAATAGTCCAGAGGCGTATCAAAATTTTAATAGAAATATTTCTTTTTGATGTTTAAACTCTTAATTAGATTATTAAGATTTAAAAAACCATTAGTCAGATACAAACTAATTATTTTAGAGGAATGATCGCGAAAGAAATCCTAAAAATATTATTTTTCCGTAGATATTCGAAAAAAATAAAAAAAAAAATATTTTTTTTTCAAAGCAAAAATATCAAATTAGACTATAAATGTGATTTAGAACAATATTTTCTTATAAAATTTTTTCATATTTTTTATAAAAATGCCACTTTTCCTTGTTTGAAATTTTCAAATGGCATTTGACAGGTGTCAGGCAAGTCTCGAGTCAAAAATTTTAGGTGTTTTTTTGGTTTTCAGTCATGCAGAACCTAATGCCGAAAACCGATTTGAAGTAAGGATGAGCATAAAAAAATTTCCCATATGGTGCAGACTTTTCCGCGGGCACTGTATATTTGTAATGGTGTTACAGAGTTACTCCTGGATAGAAAAGCTATGATAAAACTTGCGATAATTCATCAAAATTTTCCAAAACCGTTATTGAATCTTTACAAAACTCATTCGTTAAATTTTCCAAATATACCAGAAAATCCCACCAATGTGAAATCTTGCCTCTAAAGTTAATAGAAGAATTTAAAGATGTGTTTGATTCAGAAAAATTGAAACCAATAACTAGATCACATAATCATATTTACTTGAAAGAATACGTGACACCATAAGCTATAACTTGTTCGAGAAAAATACCTTCTGCGTAGCGTAAACAAGTTGAAGACGAACTAGATGAATGGTCAGAAAAGGAATAATTATACATGTCGATGAAGCTACAGACTTTGTGAGCCCTTTGGTAGTAAGTTTATATTGATTTTACCAAATTGAATAAATTTGTTGTTCGTCGATTTTTAACTGACACTTTCCGCATGAGGAACGAGGGGTGTTGCATATGGCAAAAACAGGTGTGACGTCAGGTAACCATTGGCGTTCTAATGTAGTGAGCCACCAGCTCACATTCCGTCCGAGTATTATATTAAAATCGACGGACAATACATCCATTTAAGTCGACTTGGGAAGCTGTGTCAAACATAGACTGCAATTCAAAATATTTTTCATCACTGGATGCTACAAGTGGCTATTGGCAATTGGAATTACACGAAGAAAGTAGAAAGCTAGCAACTTCTCTCACACCATGGAGAAGATTCATGTTTCTACGAGCGCCTATGGGATTAGTATCTTCTGGCGACGAATTCTGTAGACGAGGTGATCAAGCACTACAAGGTATGTCAAATATAGAAAAAGTAGTCGATGACATTTTAGTATATAAGTCATTCAAGGAACACTATCTAAAAGTTACCAACTTACTTCAAATATGCCGAGAACACTCCATTAGTTTAATTAAAAACAAATTCGTGTTTGCAAAACCAAAGATAAATTACGTTGGATAGGTATGTTATTAGGAAAGAAAGCATAGAAGCAGATTCACATAAAACTGATGAGGCTATAAAAAAAATTCCTGTGCCTACAAATATAACCGAGTTACGTTCCTTTATGGGTTCAGTTAACCAACTCGAAAAATTTACATCACAATTAAGTAGTAAAGCTGGTCTACTCAGAAATTTATTAAAAACAAAAAATCATTCTTATGGTCTAATGTACATGATGAAGCGTTCAATAGTATTCGTAACCATTTGACAGAACCACCATTTCTTACCAAATTTGATCCAACAAAGCCAACTGCTTTACATACAGATGCATCCAGGCTATGGTTTGGGATTTTTACTTTTACAAAAACACGATGAAGCGTGGAAAATGGTACAATGTGGGTCAAGATTTCTTTTAGATATGCTATGATTGAAATTGAAATGTTAGGAGTCACTTGAGCAATAAACAAATGCAAACTTTACCTAATATGACTAGAAAATTTTACCATTATAACAGACCATAAATCACTATTATCAATACTAAGGGCCGGTTTCTCAATAACCAGCCACCTCCGGATTAGTTTTAACTCCAGGTTGAGCGTGAACAATTTCTATGTTTACCCTGGAGTAAGGCTTAACCTGGAGGTGACTCGATATTGAGAAACCGGCCCTTAATGATCAAGGTTTAGATACCATTCAAAATCCAAAGTACAACGATTAAAAGAAAAATTAATGGGATATTCCTTTGTAGACGAATGGCAAAAAGGAAAAAATCATTTTATGCCTGACGCCTTATCTCGTGCTCCAACATCATTACCAGGACCAGAAGATTTAATAGCTGAAGAAGCTACCTCTGTTGAGTCAGATCATTAATGGTAGGTATTCCAAACAACTACCGCAGACAATACAGAAGAAAGTCTTACAACTTCTCATTTACAAGATTCTTTAGATATTAGATAATATAAAGTAGCAATATGCTTCAAAGGATAAAACGTACCAAAATATATCAAAAATGGTTTTCCAAAAGTAAAACAAGATTTAGATCAACAAATTCAAATGTATTGGAGTGTTCGAAATGAATTTAGCTATGAAGATGTCCTTATTTTAAAAGGATTGTGATACCCAAAGAAGCAAGAAAATCAGTTTTGCAAAAGGTTGCACGATTCGCATCAAGGCATTGTGCGAACTAAAACTAGAGAAACAGTATTTTGGCCAGATGACGAGTGACACATAAAATACAGTTGATTCGTGTGAAATGTGCCAAATTCATCTTACCTTATTACCAAAAGAAGAGATGTTATTTGACCCTATGTCGTCTCGTCCATTTGAAGATGTATCTTCGGATCTTTTTAGTTACGGTGGAAAGCACTTCATGGTGTATGCAGATCAACTATCAGGATGGCCATTTGTTTGTCAATTTGGCAACCGTGATCCTACAAGTCAAAAAATAATATTTTCTCCGCTACAGGGGAGCCGACAAGATTTAGGTCGGCTAATGGACCTCAATACAAGTCATATGGCAGAAATATTATTTGGTCGTCCTTTAAGATCTTTAGTTCCCGCTCATACAAAAACGTTTGATATAAAATGGAAAATAGTTGCAAAGGCATGTGACAGAAGAGAAGTGGAACGCAATAAAACAAAAGAATATAACAACAGAAATGCAAAAAATCTTCCGGAATTAAATGTGGAAGACAAAGTTAGAATAGAAGTAGAGAAAAAACGAAGATATGTTGTAAAAATGCCGAGTGGAAACATTTAAAACAGTGATAGAAAGTTTTTGAAGAAGGTTACTTATTTGTCTTAACCAAAGAGGGGGAGAAGATGATGGAGATGGAGATATTCATTCTCAGAAAGGGGAGATGTTATGAGCTGTACAGAATTACCTGTTATTAGGATGATGGAGATTTATGTCATTAGTTAATGTCGAATAAATATTGATGTAGTAAAGCATAGTATATTTTATCTACGACCTGCACAATAAGTGACTATTATGTCACTAATTTTTGCTCATTTGCGTTATGTAATGATTCCTATTACCGTGCGGTAATGAATCATAACGCGTTCATTATCGCACTAGTGCGGTAAGAGGTCATCATTTTTTTACAACTACATAATCGAGTACACAATAGTTATTTATAATTTTTTTGCTTTAGTTAGTGACCTCAGTAGATATTCCGATTGTTTTTTTTTTTTTAGAAAGGTTGGATTTAGATCAAAAATACACGGCGTTGAAGAGGACAGGCAAATACCTACACATTTTCTTCTTTATCGCCGTTTATTTTTGACCTAAATCCAACCTTTCTCGAAAAATCCAACCGGGTTATTCATACTAGACAAACGACAATAGTCACTTATTGTGCAGGTCGTAGATAAAATGTTATATATCACACGTACGGTAAGACTCATTACAACACTCGTGTGGTTACCACGACTCGGTCTACGACCTTGTCGTGGCAATATTCCCCACTCGTTACTGTAATGAAGCTCATACCGTACTAGTAATATAAATAACTATTAATTAATACCTATCTAACAACAACCCTAGAGTCTCAAGTACCTAACTTACCTACTTCACAACCTAGGATGTAAAGTAAATATCATATTTTTATTGCAAAAAGGGCAGCGAAGGATTTTTTTACTACCGTGCGTAAAGTGCTTACTTTACGAACTCTTCAAAAGACGTAAAATTATATTTTCCGCACCAGTGCGTAAAGTAATTCAATGTCGGGAAAGTTAGCGACACATTGGAAGCAGGATCTTTAGGATACAGCTCTGCTTATGTTGCTATATTACCTACTGCTTTGTCCTGCGGTCAGATTTGAAGCAGTAGCAGCACAAGCAGGAACATGTTCTAGCAATCCTGCTTCCATGCTGCCATGGGTGAAGTGAGCAACCAAAGTGGAAATCGATATGAATTAGATTTTTGAAAACTTCAATCATAACTTATATTATTTTCTATCATAGATAGAAAGCTAAAAATTTTTAACGATTATTATCCTAGTAGAGGACTACAAACCCTGCAAAATTTTAACTCATTTGGACTTATAGTTCCTTGGAAAAAATCGCGTTTTGAAATTTGGGGTGAAATTTTGGATTTCTCAATTTTCCTGAGGTCCTTTTTTCATATATTTCGGTTTCAAATCCCACAATAAATCACTGTATGAAGTTTCTAGGGTCTTAATTGATCGTCTATAGTCGAAATCTCTACAAAACAAAATTAATTTTATTATTTTGAAGACATGAATTTTCGAAAACTTTGAATTAGTATCTACCTATTTCGAAAACGGGGGGTTGCTGATGGGTTGCGGTTTGAAGCAGGACAAAGCAGTACCAAACTTTTTTTTAGAAAAAATTATGTCTAAAGAAAAAACTGAACGAATGTTTAACAGAACAATACCAACAAAGAAAAATCGGAAAGAAGAAGATTGGTGCGATACGAATGCTGATCCTGATGAGTCCTCTAACTTCCTATTATGTGTCACCAACAAAAAACTAAGAAGCAAAGCTAAAAATCCTCTACAATGCATGAAACCAAATAAAAATTGAAGCGTAACGAACAAAAGATTACAAAATAATAAAATTGAGTAGAAATTAAATAATATATTACTGTTTTGTTTGGTAAATACATAAATTATTACACAAAGTATACTTACATAGCGTGATGGTTCTTTAATTAGTGGAAGTAAAAAAAAGGAATGTACTCTTCAATTGGGAATTCTTGCTGCAATGTCCATAAGTACTAGCAAGCATAATACTTATGAGACAATAGAAAAGCTGAAGATAATTAATTATTAAATTAAAATTTGTCATAGACTAGGTTAATAGGTTTGATTAAGGTCAATAATGGACACTATTTTTGGTTAATAGATAATTGAGTAGAGGTAGGTACTTAAATAAAAGTCAAATTATTGAAAGCTAATTAAATGATATGTAACCATTTCCACTCGTCTGATGTTTAAACATCTACCAATCGCATCCATATTGTATTTTCGTTGAATGCATTTGATGACAGTGAAGAATTGCTTAATGCAAATAAGTATAAGCAAATATACCTACCTATTCGCTTTTATGAGTGGTTCTAAAATTTTACACCTGAATATATATTTTCAATTGAGGCCAATAAATAAACGATCTCCATTCAAGACATTATTTTTTGATAATGTTTTTACTAGATCAATCAATAAAGGTTAAATTATATTTTGGATGGTACCTACTCTGAAATGCAAGCGTCTGACTATCTTTGATCTCATTTCCCTTTCAAGTGAAATATTTGATTTTAGTGACGCAGGTACTACTGCTGATACTGGAAAGTATCACGCAGAAACAACTTCTGTCTAGCACGTCTTAGTTCTTGTGTCTACGAAGACATAACAAATTCAATATTTATCTCTAAAGACATTGGGCTACTTTCGGTTTAATGCTTTCAGAATATACTGCTCGACGAAACAATGAGATAATATTGTAATAGTTCTACAAATTACAATAACAATTTGTTTTGTCAAGGAGCGTATGCGAAATTATTTCGCTCTTAGAACAACTTTGTTATATAACTCTTTGCGACATTGGTACTCATTTCGGGCAGCACATAGTCCCAACATTTTTATTATTGGCCAATTTATTAATTTAATAATGGTTACAAATCAATACAACTGAGGGCATTTCAAATAGAAATATTTGATTTTTTAATTATCTGTGAAAAACAAATAATGTGTGGGTTTTCCTTGGATGTATTGATGATTTTTGAGACCTTAGAATGGTTGTGAAATTTTCCATGAAAATTATTGTTTTAGACAACCAGATTCCTAGAGGGCAAAATTTTCTCAGCTGATTTTTAACAAATGTCTTCTATTTTTATCATTGTTCAGTTAAGCGAAGAAGTGTCCTTGGTAAGTTATATTAACATTTTATTCAAAAAATTGTTGCTGCAACAAACCCAAAAAAAAAACATGACACTGGAATTATGAGTTTCTGTTTTTTTTTTTGACTTCTTGTTTCGTCAGCGTCAGTGCGTATTTTATGATGTTAAATAGCCAATAAAAAAAGTATGTATTTACGCACGCAGAAAAACTTATCTAGGAATTATGACTCAAGTCAAATTTGGTTTCACAATAATTATAAAGGCCTTCGACCGTTCATGCTCTCCCACTTCTATTTAAATAAAGTAAAAACGAAAGTAAACAGTTTTTCTACACCGGTGTTTTTCGTAGACCAACCAGCCTGAGTACCCCAATAGTACCACAAGTTAACCGCCGTCTAACTTGTTCTACGGTGACGCGGTTCGCGCTTCTGATTTTGCGGAGACTCGTGGATTTTTTGTTTTTTTGGTTTTCAGTACTGCAAGACCGTATCGACCTCCAAAGTATCTTTTGGTCTAGAAAAACATTAAACTTGTTAGGTACCTACCCAAATTTGTAAGTATTACATATTTTATATATTTATCTTATTTATTTTTGAATTTAGATTTTAGAACTCGAGAATAGGTACCTATACAAAAGTTGATATGACGTGTATGAGTATAGAACTAGTACCAAATTTTGAAATTTTGATTTCGTTCCTAAGACGTAGATACCTGCTCATTATTTTTCCTGAAACTTTCGACATTTTAGGAAATAAGTATACTAAACAAAAAACACGCAAACAATTAAGTACCTATTCATGAACATTTTTATTGGTTTATTTGAAAAAATTGTTGCCATCAATAATTTGAAGGAAACTTCTGAACGTGGACTGATGTAGGGTGCGTTTTCCATCATATGATAGCTTGTAGGTACATATTTTTTCTGGTTATCAGTACTGCACTAGTTTTAGTACCTACCAATTTTGAAAGTAGATACCTATTTCTTGTAAAAAAAAATCAAACTTGCTTTGGTTTCAACGAGCTTTTAAAATAAAAATAAGATTATCATTTCTAAAAACGTAGAATTATTGAAAAATCGTCTAATCACGTCGATTTTGGTCTATTTGGAAAGTTCAAAACACTTAGATTTCAATTGAGAATTTCCAAAAGCATTCAGAACAACTTGGAAACTTCAGAACCATTCTAGAATATTCCAAAACATTCAAAAACCTATTTACAATTTCCAAAAGCATTTTAGAACAATTCAGAACTTCGAATCCCATTTTAAGACGCTCGAAACTACTCTAACACTCCATAATCTCCAGAAACATTTTGACAAGCGCCAGAATCTTAGCATTCAGCTTAAAAATTACAGAACGCCTTTCAGGAGAAGTTTAAGAGCGAATTTGAATTGTTGTAAAACTTTTTATACCTTCAATAAGCATCCAAAGCAGTTCAAATTCAAATCAACATTTTCAGGAGGATTTTGGAACAATTTAGAAACTTCAGAATTATTTCAGAACAATTAGGATTCAATTTATAGAACTGGAAACCTTCTAGAACTCTTCTGAACCAATTGACATTTTGGAGCTTCAATAGGGCTCTAAAATACTCAAAAATCTGTCAGAACGATTTAGAAATTACTGAAAAAATGCTCCAGATCTCTTCAAGCCAAGTTAAAACACTTAAGAACTTCAATAAGCCATTTAGAACGTTCCAAAACACTTTCCAGCAGCATTTTGAAAGGCTTCAGAACAATATTTAAAAACCTCAGAAGTTTCAGAGTGCCTAGCGCCTGGAATAGACAAAAATTGACAGTTATAAAGTGAGTAATAATAAGGAAATATTAGCAAGAAAATCTTTCGCCCTCAATTCAAATTCTTCAATTTTTATAATTTTTCCTATTCCAGACTCTTGATTTTTCCTTATAGGTGTTTCTGTTGTTCTCATCAAACCTTTCTTGATGTTTCTTTTATATGTAGTCGACCGTTTCTTCCGAAGCAGATGTTATTGCGGTCTTCAAAATTTTCCAGTATTTCTCAATGCTTCCCGGGTAGTCTAACGGAAGATTCTGGTTTAGAGAGGCTTGAAAGTTTGTCTTGATATGATCGTCTTTAAGGCCCTCTATGTTAAATTTGAACTCCTTTTTTTGACATCTGCGCATCATAGTGAACGAGTGCAAGTTAAAATCCGTGATGGTCTTTCTAGTTTCTTTTATACTTTGAGAATAGTAGTCTAGATTGTGTGATCAGTACAATAGCAACCGATCCTTGGGTAATTGAATCGGATTTGCTTGAAGGTGTTTCACTTCAATAAAACAAAGACACATCTAAGAAAAAACGAATCACACAGCTTTCCAAAGGATTATCCAAAATTATTTTTTAAGCTCTCAAGATTAGTTCCTGTTTATAGAATAAGTTCAACATGTATATCATGAATAAGTCTGGGTATCTAACAACAGTATGTTTTGGTTATTATTAAAATGTTTTTGTTGCATAATGATCATTATTTTTGCCGCAATTTCCTAAAATTTATTCAAATTTTGGTACCTAAGCGTTGGAAATGAATCTTCTCAGCCACCTTATTAACGTCACTATTTTATACAATGTTGCGTTCATCTAATCACCAAGCTGGAAGTTGGAAGATCGTTGCTTGGAAAATCTCCCTTTTTCAAAGTTCTTGAATGTCTCTTGGTAAACCAGAACTCCAGCAAACAGCAAATCATCGCCTTGAGCGACTCTTGGTGTATTTCCTAAATTAACAAAGATACTTTCATTATAATCTTATGGTGTTTATTTCAATGCCCCTCATTCCTGCTCAAAATATGGTGAACTTGGATAGACGATATAGAAGACATTAAATCATTCATTATTCTATTTGTGGTGTACCAACCTACAAACAAAACCCCTTCATTCTTAATTGAGCTTCCCTTTCATTGGTAAATTGTCAATAAATCATCTCTTCCATTAATAGATTTTAAGCTTTCAATGGCTTTTTTCATAAGTGTCATATCCTCACCAATTTTCCTAAAATTATTCACTGGTTTTAAGGATTTACATATTTTTAGTTTTAAAGTTAAAAACTTGAGTACCTATTGAAGCATCATGCTTCATGAGACTTTTCTATCATTTTCACTATCATATTTATTCTTCATATCGTTAATCATTTTAAGCATTAAAAAATTGTTCACTTTCTCTCTTTCTCCCAATCATGCATCATTTAGTTGGTCCAGAACTTTTTAATGTATGATAATGCTTAAAGTGCCTACTTTTGCTTGAATTAATTTTTGTCAGGGTTTTATACTGAATGAAGTATTTTTCCCAGAAGATACATAAGTACAATATTTTCACCACTTAATGATGGGTACAAGAAATTCTATGAAAATTGTCATATTATAATAATATGTAACATGTATTTAAAATGTTTTCCTTTTAATGTGTTGTTGTTGTTGGCATAATTTATTAGACAAACATTAATTTACTGGAAAAGTTTGAACGGGTTCAAAATGTGTGTTCCGTCCCATAACTTTATGACGTAGGTATATGTCAGCAGAAAAATTATATTACCAAAAACACACACACATAGTGGACGGGAGTCATTCTAAAAATTTTATAATGTGTTGACTCGTGTCATGAATTAATACTTTTACGCAAAACGAAATTATTTAAGTACAGAAGACATTGCTCAAGAGAGCCGCATACTGGAGGCAGATATTTGATTCCTTAACATGACTATCTGATATTACATACTTGTCACATTTTTTGCCTAATTACCTAATTTGGTTAATTTCAAATATAAAGAATTCACGTTTCACAAAAAATCATTAATTATTCTATTTGTGATTTACCTACATACAAACAAAACCCTTTCATTCTTAATTGAGCTTCCCCTTCATTCGTAAATTGTCAATGAATGATCTCTTCCATGATCCATGGATACGCACCAACGAGCAGCTCGGATGACGAAGAGATGGAAACCTTTTTCAACGCCAAAATCGGCCAAATAAATGCGGGCGACTCAAATAACGTCGGTAGTTTTGGCTTAGGTATAAGAAATCCGCGTGGAGATATGCTAATTGATTATCTTAATAAAGAAAATTTGTACTGTCTAAACACATTTTACAAAAAACTGAAGCAGAGAAAATGGACATAGAAAAACCCGGACGGCCAAACAAAGAATGAGATCGACTATATTATCTCTAACAACAGAAAAATATGTACAGACCTTTACAGACGTCTCAGTATTAAACCAATTGGACACAGGCAGCGACCATAGACTGGTAAGAGCATTATTTAGTTTCAATCTTAGAACCGAGAGAAATAAATTAATTCACCAAAACAAATTTCCCACCAGTGCGATGTTACGTCAAAATGAGGAAATATATCAGAAAGAACTGACGAAGAAGCTGACACCTATTAAAGCCTTAGAAAACATGGACATAAACGAACTTAGTAGAAGAATTAATACCCATATCTGCACGGCGACAAAGAAGATGTGCACCAACGTCCGGAACCAAAAAGATCACAAATTAAAGCCAGATACACTAGACCTCATGAAACAAAGAAGAGAAACCCCTAGAGACTCGGCGGAATACCAAAAATTGAATAAAAGAATTAGCAAACAGGTGAGAAAGGATATTCGAACATACAACACAGACCAAATCAAAAATACCATAGAGAAAAATGCAAACATGAAAGTCTTGAAATCCAAACTATCCTCAGATAAACATATAATCACCAAGATTAAAGATCCAAAAGGTAATATAATCTCGGATACTAAGGAGATTGCCACACACATAAAAAACTTTTATGTCATACCAATACATTATTGTGTTTTTATACCTTAGATACCATCTACATAATTCATTACTTTATGCCCGTGCGGGCATAAAGTACACATTATGGCCCGCGCGGGCATAAAGACGCAAAAAAAACAGTTTTCAATTAGCTTATTCCTTATTAACAAAATATGAATTTACGCTTATAAACATTATTTTTGTCAAAAAATGATGATGTTTGCACACTGATGACAATTTGCGAAGTGACACTTTTTTCCCAGGTATTTATTATTCACAACCAAGTGGTATGACATAAAAGTTTGTATGCACCACGGGTACTAATAGATATATATACCCTCGAGCGACTTACGAACCCTCGGGCCAGAGGCCCTCGGCTTTGTAAGACTGTCGCCCTCAGGGCATAATCATCTACTTAGTACCCTTGATACATAAATAGCTATTATAGCCACCTTTATACCTCAACTATACCTGACGCAAAAACATCTAAAACTCTAGTCCGAAATGAGGGATCAGAGGACATCCCCGAAATAACAAAACAAGAAATAAGAGCAGCTCTAAAGCAAATGAAAAACAATAAATGCCCAGGAGACTTGCGAGATGTTGAAGATGGGGGGAGTGAAAATGGAAGAGGCATTATGTGTATTACTCAACAAATGTGTGCAAGAGGAAAAAATCTCCGACATATGGCAAAACGCTGAGGTCATCTTACTCTTCAAAAAAGGCGATAACACCAATATAGAAAATTATCGTCCAATCAGCCTGCTGTCACACGTATATAAACTACTAACAAAGATTATAACCACCAGATTAACAAGTAAATTCGACATTTACCAACCTGTCGAACAGGCAGGGTTTCGGAAAGGATTTAGCATCATCGATCACCTGCAGACAATAAGAAACTTAATAGAGAAAACGACGGAATACAACGTGCCCCTGCACCTAGCATTCATAGATTTCCAAAAAGCTTTTGATTCTGTTGAAACGTGGGCCTTCCTGCATGCTATGGACGATGCTAGACTCCCGCTACTCCAATTTGCTAAAACGCATCTATGAAAACGCTACATTTCAGGTCAAAATAAATAAAGACCAAATAACCGATAAGATCAAAGTAAATAAAGGTGTGCGTCAAGGAGATACGATATCCCCCAAACTATTTACCCTAGCTTTGGAAAATGTCTTCAAATCACTAACATGGGAGACTGAAGGTATCAACATCGATGGAATCTACCTGAGCCATTTACGCTTTGCCGTATTATCCTAATGAGTAGTAACATCCAAGAGCTTACAAACATGATTGAAAAACTAAACGCAGCATCAAAAAAGATCGGCTTGAGCATGAACCTATCGAAAACAAAAGTTATTAGTAACACGGATAAACATAAAAATAGAAAACACTACATTGGAAAACGTAAACGAATACATATACCTGGGACATGTTATAAAGATAGGCAAAGAAAACCAATCAGCTGAAATAAGACGTAGAAAAAAATTGGCTTGGATAGCCTTTGGAAAACTGAACTACATCTTCAGGAATCAGGAGGTATCAATAAATCTCATCTCTTCGATATGTGTATTCTACCAGTGGCAACCTATGGTCTAGAAACAATGGCAATGACAAAGAAAAGTGCTGAGCGCCTGAGAGTAATGCAGAGAGCCATGGAACGGGCCATGCTCGGTATAAGTTTAAGAGATAAAGTCAGAAATGAAGAAATCCGACGAAGAATTAAAGTCGCAGATATAATGAAACGCACTGCAGAGCTCAAATGGAAATGGGTGGGACACGTGGCTAGACAAGAAAAAAATCGATGGACATCGAGATTGCTACATTGGAGACCAACACTGGCAAAGCGTGGCGTGGGAAGACCACAGAAGAGATGGCTCGACGATATAAAGAAACAAGCAGGAAGGAGGTGGTTCCAATTTGCACAAGACAGAGACGCGTGGAGATACATGAAAGAGGCCTACGTCCAAGAGTGGACAACAGATGGCTGAAGAAGAAGAAGAAGAATAAATCTCTTCCATTAATAGATTTTAAGCTTTCAATGGCTCTTTCATAAGTGTCATATCTTCACCAACTTTCCTAAAATTAACCACTGGTTAAGGATTTACATATTTTTAGTTTTAAAGTTAACAACTAGCTGCTTCATGAGACTCTTCTATCATTTTTACTATCATATTTGTTCTTATCGTTAATCATTCTAAACTCGAAAACATTAAAAAATTGTTTACTTTCTCTCTTTCTCCCAATCAGGCATCATTAAGTTGGTCCAGAGCTTTTTAATGTATAATAATGCTTCTCTTACTGAAGAACCTACCTACCTACTTTAAATTAATTTTTGTCAGGGTTTTATGGTAAATCAAGTTTTTTTTCTAAGTACAATATTTTCACCAATTGGTCATAGGTGCAACAAATTCTATAGAAAATTGTCATATTATAATATGCATTTAAAATGTTTTCCTTTTAATGTGTTGTTGTTGTTGGCATAATTTATTAGACAAATATTAATAATTTATTGGAAAAGTTTGAACGTATGGTTCAAAATTAATGTGTGTTCCGTCCCATAACCTTATGACGTAGGTATGTCAGCAGAAAAATTATATTACCAAGAACACACATGTTGGGCGGGAGTTATTCTAAAAATTTTATGTGTTGACTCGTGTCATGAATTAATACTTTTACGCAAAACGAAATTATTTATGTGATAATTAAAATGCTTAACTATTCGAAATTTCATAACCGTTTTTAAATTAAAAACTAGTTAAATCTTTGATAATTTATTTAAAATTATGTTTCTATAATTAAGAACAGCTTACGCAGATGTCTTGCCTTGAAAACGTACAAATAATTTTTAATGGATCCTTGTTTCTCTAAAAGAAAAAGAATTTTTATATTACAATATCAAAAATTACAATATTATGTCCTTGAATATTATTTATTCGACTAAAGTAATTTAGGTACAAAGCGCCGAAACTAAAATCTAGTTCAATGTTAAAAATAATCTTGAAATAGTTATAAGTTGATGCAATTTCTTTATACGCGGCAAAAAGGTAGGTTTACGCTTATTACACACGCAGACTTTTGCTTCGAAAGCCAGAAAGCAAATACTTATATAGTAGTTATTGCAAAATTAAATAATTATGGTATAAGTAAAATTGCGCTTAGCTTTGATAATAGAATACTGTTTTTATAAGACGCAATATTACGGTTTTTACTAGTAAAAATTGCTGTATTTAATTTTAATTACCTATTATTTCTTATTTAATTAAAAATTATTGACACCAGGTTGATCTGAAACGATCTGCATTTTACTTAAATGACAAAAAACTTTTCACGTTAGTCGAAAGATTTTAATTTGATAGTTAATGAAAAATAACTAACTGTAATAATGTGATACTTAATTTTATTTCAGAACAGTAACCCAAAATGGCAGTCAATCTGGAAGAATTTCCAGACAGAGTGGCGGAAATGTACAAAGACAAGACCGTATTTATCACAGGCGGAACTGGTTTTATGGGCAAAGTTCTTATAGAAAAAATGCTTAGATCGTGTCCTGAAGTGAAAAGAATCATCCTGATGGTGAGAAGCAAAAAGGGCAAACATCCCAAAGAAAGAGTCAGAGAAATATTCGCCAATCCAGTAAGTATAGTATTATTCAACTAGTAAATTGTACAGTAAGGCATTGTTAAATGTTTTGCACCAAACAGAAACATTTTTTGCGAACGAGAGTCAGTCTAGGAAAATTGTCGATTTTCAAAAAAAAAAATCCTACCCAAAAGAACTTTTCAGGGATGATAGGGGGAGGGTGGGTGATCATAAAACCGAAAATATCAAACATTCACCCCTTTGGCGTTTTGCGCTATAGGGGTTGAAAGTGCGCCATTAGCGATTACTTGGTACCTATTGATTTTACAAAAAAATGTTTCGAATAAAAGATGTGCAACATTATTTGATCTACAATGTTTATCTAAGGACTATTTTGATTAAGGGCCGTCTGTGGCCATAAGGGCCATTTGAAATTTTATAATGAAAATGAAAAATTTTAACCAACGTGAAAAATTTTTCTACAACACATGCAACATTTTTGCTTTATGAAGTTTTTACTCACCCCCTGCCGTTTTTCAATAGGGGTAGTTTAAAGTTTATTTATTTTTTCACAAAAAAAAATTCCCTATAAAAAATGTATAAGATTACATTTCCTATAATTTTTCCCAATCAACTTTTTTTGTAACTCACTTCCATTCAGCGGGGGGACACTTCCCTTAGGGAAATTTTAGTTTTTAGGGGTATATATTAATTTTTTTTTTCTTTTCTCGCCTTAAGTGCATATAAAAAGTTGCAATTAACATTGTATTAAAAGGATTATTTTTTCACCACCTTTTTGTTTTTAGGGGTAGTTCGCCTATTTTCAACTTAACAAAAAAAAATTTTTGAGAAAACTTGTTCATTTTATTATTTTGAGCAACTTTTCTCTATAACTTTTTTTTGTAAAGTTGAAAATAGGCGAACTACCCCTAAAAACAAAAAAAGGGTGGAAAAAAAATCCTTCTAATACAATGTTCATTGCACCTTTTTATATGCACTAAAGGCGAGAAAAGAAAAAAAAAATTAATATATACCCCTAAAAACTAAAATTTCCCTAAGGGAAGTGTCCCCCCGCTGAATAGGGGTGAGTTACAAAAAAAGTTGATTGGGAAAAATTGTAGGAAATGTAATCTTATAAAATTTTTATAGGGAATTTTTTTTTGTAAAAAAATAAATAAACTTTAAACTACCCCTATTGATAAACGGCAGGGGGTGAGTAAAAACTTCATAAAGCAAAAATGTTGTATGTGTTGTAGAAAAATTTTTCACCTTGGTTAAAATTTTTCATTTTCATTATAAAATTTCAAATGGCCCTTATGGCCACAGACGGTCCTTAATCGAAAAAGTCTTTAGATAAACACTGTAGATCAAATAATGTTGCACATCTTTTATTCGAAACATTTTTTTGTAAAATCAATAGGTACCAAGTAATCGCCAATGGCGCACTTTCAACCCCTATAGCGCAAAACGCCAAAGGGGTGAATGTTTGATATTTTCGGTTTTATGATCACCCACCCGCCCCCTATCATCCCTGAAAAGTTCATTTAGGTAGGAATTTTTTTTTTGCAATACATGTATTTTTCGACTATTTTCCTAGACTATCATGGGAATGTGAAGGCCAGGGATCCGAATAAACATACACGAATCTGTTTTTAAGGATTATTAATTATTTTCATTCCACATCAATTTAATTTCACTCACATAACTGGTTCCAGAGATGAACTGGTTCCTTTTTAATGATTCAGGTACCAGGTAACTCAAATTCTATGATTACCTATTTTCCATTGTAGGTACTCAAGTACAAGTTTACAATAATAATTAGTAACGCTATATTATACATTTCTAGTACCCCCTCTCACTGGGAAATTACATTAAATTTTTCAAAGTTAACATTTTAAATATCCAAACAATTAAATTTCTAATAACAACTTTTCTTTACACATATAACACCATCATTCCAAATTACATTTTAAACAAAAATTATTAAATAATGTTTGGGGTAATGGCTTTGTTAAGAAATCTGCTAATTGAACATTTGTTGGTATATATTTCAAAAATTATATAGTTTTATTTTTTACTTTATCTCTTATGAAATGGAAACGAATGTCAATATGTTTGAGTCTCTCATGAAATTCTGGGGCCAACATGCTTCACTAACTGCTGAGCTTAAAGCAACATATTCAGCCTCGGTAGATGATAAAGCAACAGTCGCTTTTGTTTTTTAGAAGACCAACTTAGAGTGCAACCAAAAACTTTAAAAATGTCTCTTGATGTGGATTTTCTGTCTACTCTATCTCCGGCGCAGTCTGAATCTGCACATCCCTCAATAATATTTTTAAAATTATTTTTATGAAAAACTAAACTTAATTTTATTGTACCACGGATATATCTTGAAACTTTCTTTATACATTGCCATGAATTTAGACTCCCTCTAGATTGATATCTACTTAAAATTGTAATTGACAAGGACGCAAATATGGGGGGGTATGGGGGGAGGACTTCCCCCCCATCCAGTTCAACCAGTTGGGATAGAGTACAAGTTTGGAGAATCAGTACACTTGAAAATATAAAGATTCACGAGGAAAATAAAAAAATATTCCAAAAATGATAAAAAAAAATGAAAAACAGCTTGAAAAAAACGCTGGTTGGCAGGGGCGTAGTCACGGGGGGGTTTTGATGGTTGAAACCCCCCCACTTGTTTAGAAAGTATAATTAAAAAACCCCTTCTGGAAATTATTAGAAATCAAAAATTATAATATAAATACTAACAATCTCAAAAAAATACATGCTTTTGACTTTTATTTTTTTAGTAAATATGTTAATTTTACCAGTAGCGTTCCCAAAGGGGGGCGAGAGTCCCGTGCGGCCCCCAAATTGACTCATTTACAACGAATTTTCCTAAAATGTGAAGTCACGATTCACGAAGGACATACCTATGTATTGGGACATTACTAAAAATTCTAGAAATTTACCTTACCAAACCTATGTTTTAGCATATACCTACTTTTTGACCCTCAAAATTGTATTCTTTTCATATAAAGCATTGGACCGAGCATTTGACCTTGAAATTCTACAAAATTTTCGCCTGCGGCGCAATTTTTTTTCTGGCACCCCTATGGTCATGCAATGTTTCATAATTTCAATGGCGAAAAGCCCCTCGTTATCTGAATTTTCTGGCTACACGCCTGCTAGTTGGGATTTTTAAGAAAGACTAGTTGGAAGAATTTACCGCTACGCCACCCCCCCAATAAAAAGTCTTCGGGACGTCCCTGGGAATTGATATACACAAATCAGGCCTAGAGCACAACCTGGCATACACTAACGAAACTATAGCTCTTCTACATCTATTTTCCATTTCCTGATTTTCTGATCGTTCTCTATACAACTCATCGAATTTAAAATTTACGTCCATAGGAGTATTAACAGGTTTACATGATTCTAGAAAAAACGTTTTAAAATATTTTCGAGGTAAGTAGTTTGATTTATTATTAATCTATTTTCTACTAAATTTTGTATTATTGACATACCAAGAAAAAATTTAATACGTCCTAAATCTTTCATTTTAAAGCTTTCATTTAAGATATGCTTCAGATTCATTATTTCTGATTCATCAGATCCTGCGAGTTACAAATCATGAACCTAAATTAAGACAAAAACCTTTGAATATTCATTTATCTTAAAATAAATACAATATCCATTTTCAGATTTAGCAAATCTCAAACTTAACATTGAATCATCAAACTTTCTATATCAATTTTTTGGTGAACCTTTAAGACCATATAAGGTTTTTCTTAGCTGGAGAATTTTGCCCTTATTCTTGTTTAACTCTTCTGGCAAAGTTATATAAACTTCATCAGTGAGGTATATCTTCATTTAAAAAACAGTTGAAAAATTTTATAATGTATACAAATCAATACTGTACATATCTATTTGTTTTAAACCTCTAGCTACTACACTAGCCTTACCTTTACACATTTCCTTCTTCATCTTTTTTCATTTTAAAAACCCATTTACAATCAATACCTAACACTTTTTGGATTTATTTCTTCATTTCTTCATTCACTTGCAACCACGTATCATTTTCTTCTAAGGCTTTCATCTCATCTTCTATCGCTTCAGTCCATTTTAAAGTGTCACTGCTCGCCATAGCTTCTTCATAAGTAGTTGGGTCGCTATCACTATCAAATGAGGTTAAAAAAAATCTTGCCTAAATCCATTTCATAATCACCGTATTTTTTGTTTCTGGTACGCACTCTTCTTAGATTATAGTAGTTAGCATTTACAATATTCTTATTTATCTCAGAATCTAAAGACTCATAACTTGAAATGCTTTCAATCTCGTCACTTGACAATTCCCCTGAAACTTCCAAATTTTCTTGTTCTAGTCTTTCTTCTGGTTCATTATTATCACTTTCTTCGGTATCTTTTAATATTATTGGTTCAGTTTGTTCTACACTAGTCTGATATTTTTCTGGAACAAAAATGATATTCCTATAGATTTCCACCTTATTTTTATCTGTAATATATTTTCTGTAACCTTTAACATCTTCTCCATAGCCTAGAAAAATACCTTTCTTATTATTTGGGTCCCATTTTAATTTTCGAGTTTCTTTGGATGTGTGTACAGATACTTTGGTACCAAAAACTTTAAAATCCATAATCTTGAAATCATTTTTATACCATAGTTCATATGGTGTTTTATTTTTCTGGGGGCTTGGTCCTGTTCGGTTAAGCGCATATGTGGCAGTATTCAATGCTTCTACCCAAAAACATTTGTCAAGTTTTTCTTTCCCATTTAAAATGCTTCTTGCAGCTTCTACCAAAGTTCGGTTGTCTCTTTCAGCTCGTCCATTTTGTTGAGGAGTGTACACTACAGTACGCTGATGTCTAATTCCCCTACTTTCTACCATTTCTCTCACCTCTTTATTTATGAACTCTAAGCCATTATCAGTCCTCAAAATCTTCATTTTACAGCCTGCTAAAGATATACATATACCTATTTCAATAATAGTATATTATATACCTAGGTAGAGAAGTTGGTCATTATATACCGA